TATAATAAGCTATTGTCAATGTTATGTATATGTTTGCTGATGTCTATGTTTTATTGAAATATATTAGTGTATTAGAGTCTTAGAAAAGATTTATCTTGTAGGTTTTAAATCAAGTTATACACGTATTGATAGACTTAAATGTCATTATTTTGGTGTCAAAGCGTATCTGAGCATAATCACATTACGCTAACGCTGTCTCAATCAGCGCCTTGAAACAGAACAATCAGGTGTGACATGCAATTCTCACCTGGGACAATGCTCACCTGTACTGTGCTGATTGAGATGGTGTTTCGACATTGTTTCGTCAACACTTACCTGATGGAGAGGTGTCTTACCTGTTAATGTCAACATGTGGCACTGATGACCGCAACATCAACACACTAAAACAATAACAGCGCTACACGTGTAGATGGTGATGCGAGTGAGTTTACCTGTATTTTACTTGTATGTGTATACACAGGTGACCGCAACACAATACCTGCCGACACTTCCCCAGTGCAAGTGTTTGTCCGTTAGATTGATTGATAAAAATACATGTAACAGAAAATATGGCAAGCGAAACAAGGTTGCTTTGGCACAAATGAGCGTGACTGTTGACACTTAAAATGTTAGTGGAACGTTTTTCTACGACATGAAATACAGAAAATTAAATTGGTTCAGTGAGTGTTGGGTTATGTCATTTTGGAATAAACATCCACGTTGTATCAATTCTATTGTTTACATAAAAATATTTCCATGTATGGAATCTGAATAAATATTATAGAATTTTCATACACACTCTTTCATACAGTGCATGATGAACCTTATTGCCGAAATGAGGCATTACATTCATGATCAACCAGATTTGGCACGAATAATTAAGAAACATTTGAATTCTTCATGATTATAAAATATACCGCAATGTGCCGATACGGATTGTGACAATAAATAATAATTGAGTGACCTATTCTAGTTTTATATTAATATTAACTATTTTCGCTATTACGTTCGGGCAGCAAAATAATATTTATGCAAAAAGTCTGTTTGTTTCATTAGGTGCGCTTGTGCTTTTCATCTATATCATGAATTACATATAGGGAATAATTAAACAACTATTATCTCATTATGCTGGTTCTGAACTGTCTTGACTGTGTAAACCCACAAAATAACCGGCTTTGTAATCATTAGGCCATTGAAAATTCTAATTTATAGTGTTTGTGGGTAAGAATTCGTTTTGCACGAAGTAGATCTATGAACCATTTATCTGTTTGCTCGTTGCGCCAGACATACCCACCCTCTTTATCCACCCCATGGCGTCATCCGGCCTGGGGACATTTATTAATTAATATTAGTAATAAAACTGATTAAGAACCGATAAAACTAATGATGTAATTGTCAAATAACTGGAGTACCGCACACCGGAATAATTTAATAAAGGAACGGTAATTCCCGTCCAAATGTGATACATGTATGCAAAGGATTGTCCACGAGAAACTGTATGAGAACGTTGATTTGTTTACATCCGTGGAGAATGGGTGGTTCTGACAAGACCGAATGCTGTGGTAACCGTTAGATTGAAATATTATAATGCAGTTTCTCTAACAGAATGAGGGGAGACCAGTCGCTGGTTCAGTCCCCGGTAGAAATTGTCGGTGCTATTCAAGTCCTATGTTCCAATACGAATGTCATCCAAATGCCTTCACTTGGCATTGTTGTGTTATCAATGGCGGCTGTTCATGATGTATTCAATCCTCAAAGTTGGGTGTTTCTATAGCTTGTGATCGGCATGTAGCACGTGAAATAGCCCCTATAGAATAGTGGAGGTCTCTCCTTGCCCCGACCGTTGTAGAACCGTGACGCAGGTCGGATTTTTATACAGCACATTCACAACACATAGCATCCTCAATTTTCTAATGACACCGCCAAGGATTCTGATATTTTCTTTTCGTAACCGTAATATAGAATATTCCCACATACACGTCTATCCTAGCTGAGGCCTTCTCGTACACTGTATTTCGTTCGTAAACTGAGTTCTTATTATAAACCTCTAACCAACTTAAATCTTAGTTGATCTTATTTCATTTAATACCGGTAGAAAAGTCTGTGTGTTTGCACAACGGAAGAACGACGAGGTTGAGACACACGTGTGACTGGCTTCTCTACAATGGCGCTAAATCGAATCGAGGGAGATTACGAACAGATTCAATGTATAGATGCAACTTTCAAAGTCTCTCGGCCTCAACACATTGCAACGAGTTGTCCTCCCTGTCAGCGCGGGGGGCGTGGACCACGCTGTCAGTCACATGATCGCTCGTCACCGTCAGCCAATGGCGGACCAGCTGTAATTGATGGTGGGCGCTGATTCGGCTCGCTGGGAATTGAAGGCGTGGCTATTATTATTTATTTGGGCGATAAGATGCTGTGTGATCAATCAGGAGTATTCGCATTTATCAGACGTAAGCGGGTTTTACGGTGCTAAGCCACATTCACAAAGTAAGTACGAGTCTTTTAGGAATGGCATTTCTTCACTTAATGCTTTACACGTTGCGATCCAACATATTACTTTAATAAGTTTAAGCCCCGAAATCCCTGTTAAACTGCACTTGTGAGGTTGTCTCCAAGCGAGTCACTCGCCTCGCGGCTCTGCCCATGTGATTGCAACTAACATAGTATCTTGGATTTCCTTTCACAGGTCGACAAAACTTGGATACTATCGTGAGGAAAACATCCAAACTGGCTACTGATATTTCTACCTATAAAGGTAAGTTGAGTGTGTTGTGACATTCCGTATGTTCTGTCTCTCGGGTGCCTGTCCCGGATCTCATGTCCCGAGTTCGACCCCCGGGCTGTCCTACCCGACCCCCACAACCCCTACCCTTAAGGATAGGACTAGAAACGCTGCCCCACCCGAACGGTTCCTATCGCCACCCTGGGTCGCCATGACACAGCTCCCATACTTTATCGATATAAACAGTCAATATAATGGCAAATTAAGGTTACGGATATTAGCAATGTAAAATATCATTTCGTGTGCTTTTCTGAATGATTTAAAATGTTTTCCCACAGTGAAATTAATATGATTTGTCCTTCAATTTTATCTGTAATAATTTTAACTAAAACTGGCACATTACCCTTGCTCACAATTGTAAATAATGTTTAATTAGTGACAACTGTATTTTGAAAATTGCTCCAAATCAGAGTATAAACATTGCTCTATTGAGACAAAGGGGCCGTAATTAAGGCTATTGTACTGAGTCAGGTAAGCGAGTTTGGGAACACAGGTATTGTTTCTTCGGTGGGCCAATAATGATAACAACTCATCGCCGGGAGAAGTCCCCCTATATAGGAATGTCCCATCCCACACCGCCCAGTACCCCCGCATATTCCCCCCGACTCGCTAACGCCAAGTAACGGGTAGTTTGCTGTGCCTATCTGAACGTGGTTCACAAGGAATACCTTTGCACACTTCTCGGTACCCGATATATACACCAACATACAGGCAAGTTTTACTTGTACCCACGTTTATTTAATTTAGGGGCGTGTGAACTGGCAGAAATTTCAGCACATGGTACAAACGTAATAATAAATATTATCACGCTATCTGTATTCAAAATATTTCCTCTCACAAATAGCATCAAAATGGGCTCGATATGTCTTCATCGGTTTTTGAAAATAATGGTGTATATGTTTTTACAAGTATTTATTATTTGTATTTACTGTAATGTACTGTTATTTTACAAGTAATGGCGATATACAGGAAGTGAAATTGTTTTTTCAGAAATCTCAGCACAGCAAACTGTGAAAGACAAATCGTCATTCACAGTTTCGTTAAAAACAAGTTAAAATATACAGTTGTTTGTTTGCAACACGCGATACTGCGCATGTTTTTGTTGGCATATACTATTTTTGAATTTTTCCACCTCAAAGGAGTGTACGTCTTTCCGTAAAATGCGTCAATATCAAAATATTTAAAAAAACAAACATACATGAATTATGTAAGTTCAAACCTGTTTTGTTTATTTGCTATTTTATTTTGTCTAAGAATAATGTTTTGTTGTAACAAGTATGTCCAAATGGTCAAATGTTTACCCAAGCTATTGCAGTTTGTCCACAAACAGTGTACATAAATGGCCGTTCTATGAGACTTGCAATACTTGACACGGACAACAAAGATTCGACGTGTAGACTGCAGTTTTATACTATTTTTATTGTGCGTCGAACTAATAGTTAAAATTATAAATATATTTTCTTATGTAAACGTCACTTAATAATGATTCTAATTTCAATAATATTTTCAATAATTTAGAAAATATCTCTAATGTTTGTAACCCAATTTTCTTAGTGAATCAACAACTGTTTGTAGTTTATTTCTGAACTGACTCGTTGTAAATACCACTGAGAATTAAAACGATGCCATAATGTCGACCTAATTACATTGGTGACGAATTAAGATGAAAGCAAATATTCGGGCTGTGCCTCTTCCTTGTGGGTCCGGCTTCCACGGGGAAGTCCAAATAGTCGACGAGACATCCACATCACGTTCACCTTAAAAAATAGCACAATCTCCTTTTAATGTTAGAGGAATTGTCAGATAGCCAGGCATATCCATTTACACATTATGGTGAAAACGTTTAGTTTAGAAAATAATTTTACAATAATGTGTACTCTAAATTATTCAATTATATTCTGAAATAATTACCTTACAATCTAAAACACGGGACTGAAACAGGGTTGAAATTATTATGAATTAACGAACCGACTGGATTTATTCTCGTTTATTTATAAAATAACCGAAAGAAGTGTTAAAAATGTTTAATCGTGAAAATATCATTTTTTACCATGTCATATTTTCAAAACTTACTCCCAAGTTTTGTATATGTATGTTTTGACGGAATTATCTCCCCCTTTTTCAGCTCCTTTCCAATCTTATCCTGCAGCCGACCCGGCCTCAAGCACTGCCCAAATGAAGAGTATGTATATTGTAACACTTACCTATCTACTATCCTACCCTCTCCACACACCCATACCTGAAACTAGTTTTATTATGGTGTATTTGGGATGAACAATTAAAGACAAACACACGAGTATTAGAAGAGCTAAACCTTCAATGCATGTGATGTTTAACGCCGATAGGGACGTCTCGTCCATGCATATCGCCGTGACTTTCTGATTAAATATGTCATTGTTTACCTCAATAATTCATCAATTTACGCTCAAATCACCCGCTGCTCTTTAGAAGCCGTTTCGAGTGATTTGCCGATAATTATGGCGCACATATGTGCACTGAGAGACGGAGTAATTTGTAAAGCGAGGTTAGATTAAGTTGTAATAGCGACGAGAAATGACTCGCTGTAGTGTTGGGGGTTGTTGGATCTGGGACTAATTACCGTGGCAGTTTGTCTGGTAGCAATCAATGCTCGTCAGGTAACTTCGGGTAGGGCAACAAAGGCACTCCCCGCTCGTCCTAGCATTTACCAGATTAATACATCAACATTGAACTGGGATGCAGTGATTGAAGCTAGGGCATCTCCGGAGTAATCACCAGCCTCACAACAAAGCTACACTAAATGAAATTGAAGCGGATCCGAACATCGGTATAGCACGCGCGGGTCTCACGTGTAGCTGGGCTTTTTATAAATACATTTGTTAGATTAATATCTCAACTGAAAGTAACCATTTCTGGACACAGATAGCTCTCTGCCGATGTATTTTTCGTCTTAGAGCAAACAGCAAGCTTTGAAATAGCAAATTAGACGGAAGTTCTTTTAGCTCGGTAACATCGGACTATATATATTTCATCAGCTAGATTGCACTCGCTGCATCGTTAACGGCGAACAAAAGACAGCCCCGTGAGCATGCATTGTCTAACAGCTTCCTAGCGACATCGTCGACACCAAGAACGTCATGTTACGCCCCGCTGCTATCCATCGTCAAGGCTACGTTAAACCGTATTAATAATTGAAAAACCGCTGTCCCCGCTGCTCGCTATTTAGTGCTAATTTTCCGCATGCTCGCCCGAGAGTAGGGTCATCAGAGTGATGGACGAATGAGGGGAGTTCTACCCGTGATATAAGAAATAGCCAGTGTCCCACGGGTGACCGCTGACCCTCTCATCGCGTGGCTTGTGAGGGAAGCCGGCCTGTTATTGTCAGGCTTGCGATGGTGTGTATACACATTATTACACAGCCCTATGAATAGCTTATTGGATCACGGGTAATCGGCTATACACAGCTGAGACTTGAAGTCTACAAATTAGGCCAGAAAAATTCGTTCGAGTCAGGCAGTTTATTACACAAAGAGGTGCTTATTAACTATATTTACTATAACTGATTGTGCTAACCACCTTCTGTTTAGGCTGCCCCCGGTTGCGGATAAGAATTTTTCTTTCAGTTGTGATAAAGTTTGATATGGAGTTTACGGTAGCATGTCAGATATTCGATAAAATCCAATTATGTGTAAAAGTTGCTATATGTCTCAGCTGGTGACAGCTTTGTCAACACGTGTAGGCCATGGGGACAAGCAGTCGACAGGGTCGTCTTCAGTCAGTTGTTTTAATGATAAGACTTTCCTCACCCCAGGGGACCACACTTCCCACCCTTAGACCCTCTCGACTCAAATACCCTAATATTACCCGGCGTTGTCTTGGAGGGAAGAGGGAGAGAGAGGCTGGTAGGGGTCGGGGAATGCACGTGCACACCACGACCCCATCCCGCCCTTCACATTGCCATATGCTGCTTAATTCCAATCTGTGAAATTGGGTCTGGGTTCAAACCACAATTAAATTGACTTGTACAAATTTTGAAAAGAACTGACTTGTGAAGGACAATACGGGTTTGCCCCGGTCGAGAATGTCAGCGCATTTTGAAACAACATGTGATCTCAGTTTGATATTCCGTATAAATCGTTACGTATTTGCATAGTATTTATTGTGAGTCGGTGGGGCTCGGGAGATGTTGTATAGGCACATAGCTTAAGTTGGCTGGAAACTTCGATCTTCTTGTCCACATATGTCGCGGGCAGCGTTTCGGTGGGGACCGAGGTTTTTGTCTTGCCCTCAGGTACGTCTTTTCCCTCCAACACGTCGCCTTGGTCAATACCAAGCGAATACCTGCACGAATAGCGTAGATACTGAATTGATTTTACCCGACATACCCATGTTGTTATCCACCCCTCCCCTCCCCTCGCCGGTACCACCGTTACGTTCACAGGTGGGATCTAAAGTTTCTACCCGCTCTCCCAAATCTACCCTACCCCCTATATGAGTATCCAACAATTTACTTTCTTTCATAAGTCTTGATATGTGTTGTCAACATTGACTTTCGCGATGTAACGCTTAACAAGGCAGGGCATATGTGGGTCGGGTTGGGACGCGGTGTCAGACCGACTGCACGTGCTGCACGAGCTTCACATGATGTGTAAAGTCAAGACGATGATAACGTTGATGATAATTTAGGGGAAATAATGGAAGATGTGATAATTGTAGAGTGTTGAGGCAGTGATTGGACGCCCGCACGTGGCACGTTGTGTTCAGAGCTCGAGGCGAGATGTAAATTACCGGCCCATCTGACAGAGTAGCGGAACAAGACAAGTCTCACAATCTCAATACTGTTCACGTTCGTGGGACTATTTGTGCTTCTTCCGCGTATCTGATAACGATGTAAACAAACATCGGATCTATCTCTGATGTTTCTGCATCGTCTTGCTTATCTCATGTTATCGTGTGAGTTATGGAACCGTATTGACACAGTGCAGCAATGTGTAAATTGTTGTTATGGCAGTGTCGCGTTGCTCAATTGTTGTCTTGATAAAAATCCCATAATTTTAATACTGCTAATTCTTACGACATTATCACAATCAGTGACATTCCTTTATTTTATTTCTTTAACTTTTAATTACATGTCAAAAATAGAATTGTTGCAAATTAGCCTGAATACGTTGCAATGGAGGTATGCTGGTAACTAGGGCATGTTGCAATCGACCTCCCCCGTGCAGGTGGCATTGGGTGGGTGTTTTCCCCGGCCTCGGGGTAGGTGGGGGGGTTATGTGTAAGACAATGTATCCAAATGTAGCTGTTTGGCAGGCGGGTTTTCATTGGGTGGCACGGCTAAGACGGCAGTTGATAATCCGCTACACTTCATTACGGTCGAGTTAGGCTTCATTAGATCGGCTCCCTACCTGGCGACGCATGTAATCCCTCATTTAACACGGAGCTAACATCCATTTACAGCCATACCCGAACTGCCTGCGTTTACCCGTACTCCAAGCAATTTTTTTATTTTTTTCTCTCTTGGACTCTGTCCTTACCCTGGTGATTTTTCTCACGGTGCCTCCTCTCCCTCCCACAGACTTATACCCCTCAACCTGCACCCCGACCATCGCCGCTGACTGTCCGGTCTCTCTTGCAGTGTGGTCCGATCGCTACCTCACCCCCACCACCGAGTCCCGTGGTCTCATCCCCACACTGGATTCTCTCCCCACGGACGACCTGAGGATGGCCTCCATGGCCTACCCACCCGTGTCATCCTCTCACATGTCCAAGGCCGGCAACCCCTACTCCGTCAACGGCATCAGCTTGACCTCCCCTAACGTGGACCTGCTCCATCCAGCTATGGGCTACCAAGGTAAGAAAACAATTTTTCTCCATTCGTTTCACTTCCACCACCCATAAAGCCAACCTCGCTTTTCAATCCTAATTCAAATTATTCAAAAGTATATTTAGAATTGAAATATAATTTTATTACCGATTATATCGCATATCCTTTCATAAGAAATAAATATATTTTTCTGCAAATTATACGAATGATTTCGAAGAAATGATCCAAATGTTAACTCTATTTACTAGTTGAAAAATGTAGTGTTCGCGTCTATGTATTAGACGATCTGGGAGAAAAGCGGCGTTAGGACTCTGAAGCGAGGCGAGGCAAGTTGTATGGTTGGGTGTCAAAGAAGTAATTATATAGCAATTCTAGCGGTGGCGGGTTAGAGTGTTTGAGACATAGGTTGAAAGAAGGCCCGGTAGGGTGTAGGGTGTCCATTACTGAGGAACATTCATACCTTTTATACCTGTGTTTGGGCGGCAGGTAAAGCCGTATTGTCGACTTTCGCCTGAAAGGGTAGAGAATGAAGGACAGTCGTGTTGGAAACTGTCTCAATGCTATCTGTGACCTCACATCGACTTCAACCTTCTCATAATTATAAGAGAGCCGCGGTATTTATATCCTAAAACTTTATATCGCAGAACATGGTTTTAGTCGAATGTGATTACATACACCTGTTTATTCAAACAATTCGTTGAAATATATACAAATAAATGTCAAAGATCGGCTTACGGTTTGATTGACATGCATTGAGTTAATCCTGATATCGACTCCTCGTTGGATTTACTGACCCAGTATTAATACAGTACGACATATTTTATTTGCGGTACTTTGTTGACGAGAGTTGTAATCCGGGGTAATGGTGTCCATACTCCGAGGGCCTCTTTACAGGTCTGTTGACAGTTTTCATAATCCCATGTAAACCTATTCTCTCCCTCGATTCTCCCGGTCTAAACACTACTTGTTCCCAAATTTCTATTTCTGTACTGGGGATTACAGACCCACTAACTACTCTGTTCCCATCTGGCGTTCAAAGACGGGTAGGGCTCTCCCAATTCACACGTTTTGCAGGAAAAATAAACTCGCGTCAATAGTGCGTTGTTGTCCATGGGCCCTGCATGGGATCCCACAGCCCCCAGCACGGGTATTCAGACAGTCACGACTTCCATTTAAAACTGCCTAGCCTAACTGAAAAGAAAATTGCATTTTTATGAGATAGACTCGCTGAGGGTGGGTGGACGGTACTCTGGGGGCAAGCGAAGCTAGTGGCAGCGTTGATGGGTGCTATTGTGTACTGGGCAGATTGAAGGGGGCCTTTGATGGGGACGGGGAGCGCGCCCCCCACCCCATATCACTGTCTCCGGACCAGTATTAACAAAATACTGAAATTGTCAATTTAGCCCTGTTGTGTATCTGTAATTAAAACTATTATTGCATGCGGCAGTAAAAGCCCGGATGTATCTGAGTTGCGAGTCACGAGCGCGACTGTCCCTTGTCCGCTTCTCTCTCGGCATTCAACTGGCAAAGCAAACAGATAAATTTCGATTTAATGGAAGCAATTTTACACTCATTCACTCCATGCCTCATTTATTTCCATCAAAGATTCCGGCTTTTTAAGATGTGTTGCGGACAACCTAAAAACCAACAGATTTCTATAGAAATCGAAATGGCAATTTCAAGGATTTATGACACAATAAAAGGTGGTGTTGAATGATTTAATCACCATCAGGGGAATATGTAGATCATTGAGCAGGTAGACGTGCATAGATTCTATGGACCCGGGCCATCTTCACGGAGGCTCCACAATACATTGTGTAAGGTGTCAGAAAGCAACGAGCTTCACAGAAAGGGCGTTACGTGGGTTTGACATTTCCAATCAGGGGAAATGAAAGATTAAAGGGGTATTCTTCACGAAACGTCCAGACCTGGTATGAGATTTATCTTTGCAGTATGTTCACTGTTTTTTTTCTTTTCTTAAGGCGGTAATCCAAGGAAGCAGAGACGTGAGCGTACCACCTTCACCCGCGCCCAGTTGGACGTTCTAGAAGGCTTGTTTCAGAAGACACGCTACCCTGATATCTTCATGCGAGAGGAAGTCGCCCTTAAGATCAACCTACCCGAGTCTAGAGTCCAGGTAAATATATATACCCGATGCCTTACCTTTCCCACCCGACTCCTGCATACACAACACTGTCCCTCAGCTTCATCAACCATGGACACTGCTGATATCTGATGATAATTAAACCTGTAAGCCGGCATTTAACTCGCTAATCGCGTAAACACCGAATCTACTAACTGTCCGTATCTGTTAGTGTGATAACCAATACACAAGGCATTAAACAATCCAGTGCTTAATATTTCTTTCATATTATTGACGTCTTCATAATGAAGTCAAACAAGGCAACGATAGGATCTGACAGGGTTGTTACAAGTTAATTCCTGGTTTAACCGTCTGTGTCGGATCTGTGTAGTGCAGTAAAGACCATCTGGTACAGGAGCCAGGGTAACGGAACCCTCTCACCGCCCCCCGCCCCACCCCAGACTCTGCCGCTATGGGTCCCATATCGCTAATCACTCATCAACACTTCATTACTGTAATAGGCAGGGATCACAGTCTCTCTCACGCGGCAATTACACATCATTTAGCGCTAATCTGTCGCACATTATTATCTCTTATACCGGTGGCTGTGAAACCACGATGATGCACAGAAAAACACCTCTTTCTCTTCACAGACTGTGCACCCAGAAACCTGGCGGCATATTTTGTATATTTTCGATTACATAGGAACAACACAATTATCAATGACGTATTAATGGGGGGTTGTTGTGATAGGCACAAATTCAATGATGCCCTCCGCTGAAGGGTAAAAATTAATTGTATAAGAACCAGTTTGTTGGAGTTGGTCTTTGTTTGACCGTGTAGTGTGTTGGGTGTGGACATTGTCTCTCCTGACGGGTATGATGCAAGACCAGTGGGCCAGCCCCGGTATGTGTGCCCCGGGGGGTGGTGTGTACACTTACTTTGGACAAGTCAATTAGGCCCTGTAAACACCTCCTAATGGTCCGACCCCGAGGGGCCCCTCACCCGCCCCGTCCACCCTCTTGAAAACTACCCTTTGTAAGACTTCCTTTCAACGCCAACCAGTCCCCAACTGGACCTTGCTAGTTGGCCATCTTACTCGTGTGTTAATTGCTGCCCTGTACACAACACCATTAATCCTTTACACCCATGGAGGCAGCGGACGGCGAATACACTTTATTGTAAAGACTATATATTCTTTTAGTGATACTAGAAATCCCGACCCTTTTATTCCTCTGCCTCCAGCTATACCACCCCTGTTCCCCCTGCATGGCTCTAGTGGCCTCTCCAGTCACCATCCTACCCCTCCCCCAAACTTGACCATTCCCTCACACTTGGGTACTCCTGCATATCTTTAGGCGATAAATACGTATCGTGTTAAACATGATTGTTTTGTTCTAAATGCTTACTTCTATCTTTGATAACACGCTAATCCATGACTTGGTCGACCTTTGTATTTTGTTATCGATGAGAGATTAACATCAGCCGCGTGAGCATCTTGTTTGTAATTATGCAATCATCGTGAGAAGTATTGTTTTTCTCAACACCTGTATCAATCTGATGTTTGACTGCACCTGTATCAACCTGGTTATGTTTGACTGCTTGACCTGCCCCAATTCTCACCTTCTCCCTTATCTTGCAGGTTTGGTTCAAGAACCGCCGTGCCAAATGCAGGCAGCAACAAAAGGCCCAGGAACAGAAGACCAAACAACAGCAGGGGGGTCAGCCTAGCCCACCCCAGACGTCACAGTCCCCCAAGAAGGAGCCGAAGACACCCCCACCCCAGGCTCCCTCCCCAGTCACGTACAAACCCCCAGTCGTCAGCACCACACCCCCCAACGGCAGCTCCCTCAACGCCGCAACCTCCATCTGGAACCCAGCAGCATCCATGCCACCCATGAACGAATTGATGTCCAACAACAGTTGCATGCAACGTTCTTATCCCATGAGCAATGGTCAAGCACATTCCTATAACCCCCAGGGCTACGGTCACTCGTCCTACTATGGCAATATGGACTACCTGAGTCAGATGCAGCTCCCAGTCATGTCCAATCAGATGACCAATGGTATGGGCAGCATGTCCAACACACACGGGAACCAAATGGCCTCATACGGTACGCTACCCTCCGCACAAACGCTCTCAAGAGGTAACCACGGTGACTGCTTGGACTACAAAGACACAACATCCTCGTGGCCCAAGTTCCAGGTCCTATGAGCCGTGCAATGAGACACTTCGTGAACATTTACCAAGTGAGGTTTCGGGACTACCGTCACTGGAAACTAAGCTAGTCTGGTGGCCACGTTGGCATGGCAACAACCTAGGTTGAGTTGCATCCTAGCGCGGTTGTACAATCGTGCTTCCCGTGAAGTCCACAGTTACATGGCCACTATCAGACAATCGACCACAGATGTTGTGAATCACAGTCTTGTGACCAGTGACGTCATCCGTTTGACGTCATCCGTGTGACGTCAGGAATCCTACCCGTCTGTGTGTTTCGTTACAACCTCTATGCCCAGCGAAACGTGCAAGTTCCCGCTCCGGTGGGAACACCATTATTTATATGCGCACTACATTATTGCCGGTGTCGTCCATCGATGTGCCCTCCACCCCCAAAGACGGCCAGAGAGGGCTGTTGTGTAAGAAGCCTGTATATACTCAGAGAGAAAAAGTTGTGCTCCACCCCAGGGGCACGCTACGACCCCGGGCACACGCCACCAGTATTAAACGGTCACAACGTCACCCCGCCCGCCATCACGACACCATCTCGACGACCACGTGAGCTTGCGACGTCGTCGCCCGATTCTACTTTGTAGCGACAACGAAATGCCCTGTCCATCAATTGTAAATTATAATCGCCACGTGACCTGAGCTGCAATGTAGTATTACTTTACACCTGTACTCTTGAATTGTTTTCTTTGTCATTTCTCTCTATTTATGGCACCAGAAGGTGCAACAAAGCGATGACCATTAAGCACTTTTAATATATTTAGTGTGACTCAAGAAATTTTGAGTTAGTGAATAAATCGTTGTTTTATGAAAGAAATATATTTTGTTTTCATTTTCACTGTTTCAAGTGATTGAGGTTGTAAACTGAGCTTTATTCAAGTTAATATTTGTATAGGATCATATATCAATAGCCGAAACACCCATCTGTGTTCACGAATACAACATCTGGCCTAGATGCTGATCCCTATTGCTTCATGTACATCCTCAGCGCAGCATAACTTAGGCTTTAATCGGCGAACCACAGGGATGTTTTCGTGGACAGAGTGGTGTATCCTGATGGCTAAAAATCATGTATTGAAGAGGGACCGAATCTGAATCCAATCTGTCAATTGAGGATTATTCTACGACTTTAAATACGGTCACTGTATGACCTCGTCGTATATCCTGCTTTGATCTCACACCTCTGGTTGCCATGGTGATTCCCTGCTCGTGCAACTATTTGTCCTTAGTTCTTCTCCGTGTTGTTAACGAGGACTAGTTTCAAGAGTGTTCCTTACGGACAAAGTACAAATGATATTCTATCAAGTACTGGCACAATAACAAGCCATGAATCTGTTATCGATATGACTTAATTTTCATATTTTATCCCAATTCGCTAGCGTGCGTGTGTCCGTTGTACACCATGTGTAGAGTGTCTGGGGAAGATATGCGCCGCCACTCTCAACCCTCCTCGTGACAATAACCCTGTGCTCGGGTTTTGTACCCCCACACAATACAAGAGGGGGGACCCGCATATCTGAGGGGCAAGACGCTATACTACGGAAACGTCAACGACGTAGTCACCGACTCAAGCTTGAAACGAATACTGAGAACAAGTAGAAATTGTAGATTCCATAAGCTGGTTACTTGTCATTTTTTTAATAGAGTCTATATTTAATATATACTTATGTAGGTGTATATATGTTTCTCACGATTATACCATGTGCAAGAGGGTGGACTTATGCCACGGATAATTACCATATTCATTACAATCACGCGTTACCTGACGGCAGGGGTATTTTGATGTGCACATCAGGTTAACTGGCGGTATGCGGGTGGGATGTGCAGACACGTGGTAACTGAGGGGGTGGGGAAGGGAAGGGGTGGGCTTAGGGGGAGGCGGTAACCTGACGACATGGGGCTTACGGGTTCGAGATGTACATCAGGGTAACTAACGGCACGGGTATCTTCAAATGGGGTAGATATGCAACGAAACATTGTGTCGATATTGTCCGGATGACAATAGGCATGGCATCGTGATGCCGGAAGCTGGCCAAGCACCTGGCCGTGCCAGTCTGCCGGATGCACGACGCCGAGTACTGTACATCGGTAACCGTGGAAACGGAAGAAATAGATGAAAAATAACTATGCATGTATTTTGAACAATGCATAAGCTGTGCCATCGGTCTGCCCAGGACAATGTTCCAGCTGTCAACAACGGCAACAATCTAATAAAAGTTGGACTGTGATATATAGGTTAGGCTATACAGATCAATCATGACAACTGTACGGGGTCACATTTTACCGATAAAACATGAAGCTCGCATTTCTTATACACTTGTGTACTTATTTATTTAACGTCCGGGTAAATATCAATATGACCCTTTTAACCACAATTTGTAGACTTGTTTGAAGTGGCAATGATTATTGCTAGTGCATGTACAATATTGATCTACATCTATTCCCATGCAAGACGTGTAGTTTCCTTGCCCTCTCCCCCCGGAGTCACCGCGACCCTCGGAGCCCCACCCTGACGTGTGTCTGTATTGTATGTCTGTACACACGGTGTCAGTGTCTGTGTGTCTGTGATGAGGAAGGTAGGTCTGACATCCGACACCTGCAGACTCCGAACCCAGGACTCTGGACCTCTCGTGTACGTATTGAACTGTCCGTCACCGCTCTCCAGACATCTCGGACAACACACACATCCACGACCAATATTACAACTACACCAACCACCAATACAACCACTAGTCAACAATGGGGCTGATTTTACTTGTATTGTGCTTTTAAATATTTTAAAAAAATTAAATAGCTTGTGTCTACAGTTCAATGCATTTCTGTGGAATACTCCAGGTTTCTTCAACAGAGGCAGAATCTACAATGGTTAAGAACGGATCGTGTTTTCAGTTTGAAATCATGTTTTTATGCAAAAAAATTGTTTATCGGAAATATGAACTCACGGCCATTTGAGTGTTTTAGAAATATGGCATTCTATAACCGGATTTACAGAAGCGCAACTTAAATAAACATTATTTTGTTATTTAATGTTTGCTCGGAGTCCTTACTAACCACATCATGGAGATTGTATTAAAAAAAATATACATTTTCCCTGTTTAAAAAAGAATTGTACGGGGCACCTGTGTATATGTGCCTATTTGATTCAAGGCAAAGTATTTATGCGCTTTCTGACATTTTCTGAAGTTGCTTTAATAAATGGATTACTTCGTTTCATGTGCTCGCAGATCCTGGTAATTCAACTAAGCCTGGCCACAACAGTTACCATTTCGCAGAATGTAAGCTCTTTAATACCCTATTATCAATAATTATGTATGCAATGAATATTTGTTTACAATTACGTATGCAGTGAACATCCTTGTCTCCGTCTCATAATACGTTCTTAAGAATTATGAATACAACAGTTTAAATTTTTAACGAAATATTGCCGAGGTGTTGTTGCTAGTTTTCCTGGCATTATTGTAATGAGCGCGGCGATGTTGACACTGAGATCTAATTGTGTTTCAATAAATTAAATTCTTTCCCATGGTCTTAAACACCCAATATTGTATGCTCAATCAAGTTTCATTAATCCGAATGAATTCTGAAGATCTGATATATTTATGTCTGAATTTTCTTGCCCCTCTGTCGAATGTCGATGCCTCTCATATGTTTTATCATACCGCCGCAGAAAATAACAAAGGTACCCATTAACTATCCCTGACTGGAAGAAAAGGAAAGCTCAGTCATTTGAAATAAACATTAATTCTTATTCTATATGGGTATAAGCATCCTTTCAATGTCAGTTTCGGCAATGTTAATATTTGATGATCACATTATGTGGTGTACATTGCATGGGTATGCATATATCTGTGAAAGAGATATGACGCTATATATCCCGACATATATCACATTTCGTCATGTGCAAAGCAGTCTACTCAATGTAAAAGATGTACACATATATCTGTGAAAATGAAATCTTCCTGAATAGAAAATTATAGGGAATCGGTTCTTAACGCTTCCGGCGCCAGTGACATTAGCGAAAGATTGCAGTGACGCCTCGAGTTTAACGCCCCACGTTACTGCCACAATTACAGTTAATTAATATTTATATAAATAAAGAGACAAAAATCATTAATATCTATAAGAAATCTCTGCCAAAAGCAGTCGATTGTACGATTCCGACTACATCATAACATGCGTTCTTGAAACACTATCAAATAGTCAAGGCAGGAGGTGTTCTCGAAAAGGTGAGCGTATCCTGCCCACCGCTTGAACCCATCACAAACCCCAATCCGTATATGTTAGAACAAAACAAATACATGTACCGTTGATCTATAGAAGTATCCTATCTTTAAATAATTATTTTACCTTGCTAATATACAGAACAATATTGGTATTTTGGACAAGGACATTAGACTGTCATCGTTATAACGCTGATTCATGTAATATCCAACCACTCCTGTGTGTTTATGGTTTACTGTGATGGAATTGTATGTGATTGTTCTCGTGGAATATATATTCGCTGGGATTGGTGGCTCCATGTGGTTGACCCTAGTTCACACCGGGGCTAGTTCGGCTAAAACTTAGCCCGGCCAATTGACCGTAAGGATAAGCTTTAGTCGAATATCCTTGCAGAAATTCCGCTCGTTATAAGTTGTTTTACTCTGATTTCACGTGATTTTATCTTTATAAGGTTCAAAGCCGTGACACTACTTTATTTGAATTTTATTAAATAGAAAAATCAAATTGTGTTGTTTCACAATTTGAAGATACGAAAAACAACTCCATTGCTTGAATTCAAGAAAAAAAAATACGATTTTAATATTGTTTATTATTATATTTATTTCATTTTCTTTACAGTAAACACATGCTAAACGAGTAAAGAGGTTTGATTGTGAACTGTTTTATTAAATCCAAATATGTTCAACATTTTCGTTTGTGGTCTTTCTACATGAATTATATTTCCTGTGAAGTTGAGAAACGCGATATGTTTCCACGCATATTAACCGGGATATTGACACCCGTATAGCGCTCACATAATCCCCTCTCTCCCACCCTGTAAAACGATACTCATTTCGAAATGTAACTATAGATCATTCATAGTCATTTTACCAAAAGGACACACATGTTCTGAAACGAAAAAAGATTAGGTTTCATGATTCGGCAGAAACTGTTTCCATCTTTTATATTGTTTGTGTGGGAATCAAAGGCTTGTTTTATGTACTTTCTGGAATATAACCCGAAAAGTAAATAACAATGCGCTTACAATTTAATATTGGAATAAACAACACATTGACACATAAACATTCTCGGGCTAATTCTCGAACTTTAAAAAATCGTCAGAAACTGAAAAAAACGAAAAACATCTGCAATAAAGTATCATTCAAACAGGGGAATAAAATTTGAAGGCTATAACCGAAGGAAAAACTCCGTAATCTTATTGATTAGTACCATGAAGATTAACTTGGAAGCTGAGCTAGGCGAGTGTGGGGTAATCTCCGCCGGGAGGGGGAGGAGGAGGGGGGACAAGGTGTAGAGGCTGATAACGCAGGGAGACTGAGGGGACGCATAACGCCGGGGGATTAAATTGGGGGCACATTGATCACTTTTCTCCGGCGTATCGATGACATCACCCAAATCTTTGCCCTGAACGTTGAGCGGGAGACGGAATTCTGCCACTGTGGTTGCTACCGCGCGTAAATAAATAAAATAAATAAAACAAAAAATGCGTGTTTACCATCCAAATGTTATTATGTGCCCTGAATTTTCTATTAGAATATATATTAAATTTATTCTCTTCGTTTCTTTGTTAAATCAAGAAAATTAAAATTAGA